TAATCTTATATCTACATAGTATATCATTTTCATATTTATTAGATTTATAAAACCCCTTCTGATTGATTATAAATAATATATAAAACTTTTAATTGATTGAATTTAGTTATTATAATCGAGTAGAGAGAGAACTTAATTATTCTAGTATTACGAGAGCTGTCTTTAGGATTACGTGGAAGTAGCTAGAGATCTCTCGAGGTGGTTTAGACTAAACTTTAAATTTATTTATTTATTTATTTATTATTTTACATCCGGGGGGCAAGCCATAGGGGCTCGCCACAACCTCCCAGGGGGGTACTAGGGATAGATTAAGCTAACAGTTCTATATACATATAATTGTCCGCTTAACTAAGCGTTCCGTTCTTCTACAACTGTGATATTGGTGGAAAGTAGGTAGTGTTATAAGCGCTATTTATTGCTTTCACTAGTAAGTTTAGGCTGTCCAGTTTATTTTATATTGAGGAGTCCAGGGTGTTACGACGGCATCCAACATACCGCGTCACATGACATAAATTACACGTGATGGAGCGTCAAGGAGCTTCAGCGCTCCTGGAGCGCGTTGCGATCCTTAACGATCCAACATATTGGAGAGATCTTAGGGATTAGGATAGAGAATGAAGGTCTATATAAGGGAATGGGTTTTATTATAATATAAAGCTTTGTGCTTAAGAATAATTATTAGTTTTATTATTATAATTATGAGAATTACAATTAATTATAACCTTATTGAATTCCTATTTAAAGTCTAAACTAAACCACTTTAAAAGAACTCTAGACACTTCCACATGACCCTAGAGGCAGCTCCCGTAACACAGGGGTTATTCGAGGTTTTAAAAAAGGCAGGGTTTGTAGGTTGATAAAGGCCAGGGTGATTGTAGGCTATTGTAAATAGATGGTTATATTATTAAGAGAGAAGAAGGGATATTGTGTTTACTTGAGTATAAATAGAATTACTTCTTAGAAGTGAGGAGGTAGAGTAGTGATGGAGTAAAGGCTTTCATTGGGGCTAAAGGATTGAAAAGGGATTTTGATTTCCTTTTTTAATTATATATAAATAATGAGCTATAAATTAAAAGGTAATTAAGCTTTGAAAAGACAAATATTAATCGAAAAATGATTCAGAATAAAAGCGGATACGAATCGCTTTATTACTGAGCTAGTCATTTCTTACGGAGAACTATTACGGGAGTTGCCTTTAGGGTTACGTAAAAGTGTCTAGAGTTCTCTCGAGATAGTTTAGACTAAACTTCAAATAAGAATTTAATAAGGTTGTAATTGGTTACAATTCTTGTAACTATAATAACAAAACTAATAATTGTTCTTAAGCATGAAGCTTTATATTGTAATGAAACCCATTCCCTTATATAGACCTTTGTACTGAAATTGATTAACAAGTCGATTACCATAAAGTCGATTTCGATAAGTCGATTTCCTGATCACGTGATGTCCATCTTGTGACTAATAATGATACTACCGCTTATCTAACCTATACTCTTTAGCCGATTATCCCTACAGCGCTGTTTCTATAGGTCCCAACACCAAGGCCTTAGGTTTATCTTATAATCCATGTTGCGGTGCGGGTACCTCCGTAATAAGAATAATGGTCCTTTTGTTACTAAACTTTAAATAGGAATTCAATAAGTTCATAAGTTAACTGGTTTACAATTCTTATAATTATAATATAAGTTAATGATTGTTTTGAATACACAAAGCTTTATATTATAATGAAACTCATTCTCTTATATAAACCTTTATACTTTGATCGTATCGATAAGTTTACTCGATAAGTCGAGTTAACAAGTCGAGTTAATAAGTCGAATTGACTTTCTTTTATATAACATTTATTCTTATAATCTAATAAGACTACTGTTTATTTAATCTATACTTATTAAAGAATAGATACTAATAAAAATAGATATTTATCTTTTTATAGATATTACTTACTATTGATTTAAGAAGAATACGAAAGACGTAGCGCCTGCGTATTCGTAGGTTTTTAAATGTCTATATTATATTCTGTCTAAAGAGCTAGCTATGTATAGAAAGTAGTAGGCCTTATATAGATACTACTGAAAGAGCTATGTTACAACGGATTAGTAACAGGCTGTAGAATCACTGACTTATAGGCTATAATGATATTATAGGCCTCAGTGATTCAGCTGTAGTATACTGGGGGACACTAGGCACCTAAGGAAAGCCTCAGGCATGTATATAGTATTAGTTATAGGATACTCTAGAAACCTAGAACATAGTTCTCAGAACAGTAGGTCTTAGGAAAGACAGAATATAGTAAGTAAGAAGGTTTTATTAGAATTAATAATATCCTAGAGGATTAGCCTCAGGATAAAAGAATAAGCTAGAATATCAAGAGTCATGGGATTAGTGTTCTGTAATAAATAGCTTAGGAACGATAGTGTTTTAGGAGCGACTAGCTGTTTCAGCTGTTCAAGTAAGATAAAAATTTATATAAGAGAATGAGTTTCATTATAATGTAGAGCTTTGTACTCAAGAATAATTATTAGTTTTATTATTATAGTTACGAGAATTGTAATCAGTTATAATCTTATTAAATTCCTATTTGAAATTTAATCTAAACTATCTCGAGAGATCTCTAGACATTTTCACGTGACCCTAGAGGCAGCTCCCGTAACAAGCTAGTCTCTTTCGCATTCGCCTAAAGCTCAATATAATAGTCATTGAATTAAAGTCATTCACCTACGTTCATACACTTACCTATATGATTATTCTTATTTTTAGTCACCTTTAGATCTTATAGTTCCTATAATGTCGTTTTCGTAGGTCGTAATACTAAAGACTTGTATTTATATTATAATTCATATTATAGTACGAGTATCTCCCGTAGCATCTAGCTGAGTAAAGAGGAAAACCTTTAATAAAATCTACGATATTCTTTAAATTAAGTATATAACTATAAAGAATTAAATAAAGTAATTAAAAAAGTAATATTTAGATAGAAATAGTTAAAAGCTTTCTGTCGGAACGTACGATCATGTGTTTAAGCGAATCGTATGATTCTTCTCTTTCTTATAAGGAGGAGGAGAATTATATCTTTATATAGATTATCTTAATTATATTTATTCATTTTGTATAGACTTTTATAGTGCTTTACCTGATGATACGGATTTAGACCCCCCCCCCTTAAGTAATTCAAATACTTTTCGATGATATAGTTACTTTTAGAATAGATACTATAATAGTAGTAGAATTAATTAATTAAATTAAAAGCATTGACGTAGTTTATCATCGAGTAGACTATATTATTAAATGAGTTACTTTGAAATACATTAAAATCAGTCTTTTTTTAATATTTAAATTTTAATAATCCATTGATATTTTTTAAAAAATAAAAAAGATTTATTATTAAGAAAAAATCTCTTATAAGAACATTTAGTTTTTAAATAAAAATTTCTATTATGTTTTATAAAAAGTGAAAACTATTATAATTTCTATTACAAAAAACCTATTTCTATAATAACTATTATTGTTGGGCAGACTTGGTAAGATGTGTATACACAATATGTATAAATAAAAGAGTTGTTTATTTCTATCTACCCTCTTCATATAAAAAGGGAATTACTATATCTATATATATATACTATCCCCACTTACACACTTCGTGCGTATGTGGGGTAAAGCGTGATATGTAATGTCATGTTGTTGGTCACGTGTTCCGACAATTATATAAATTCAAATTTTCAGTAAATCATTAAATTTTTATAATATTTATAATATTTATATAATCAAATTTTATAGTTTCAAATTTTAAAAAATATATTATTAAACGAAGAAAGTATACGATTATATATAAACGAATTTTATATGTATTCAAAGTAGTTTACTTAATAATAAAATCTATTCGATAATAAATTATATTAATTAAAAGACATTTGAAAGTATATTTGTAAGTAGAGATCCTATGGCCTGAGGCATGTTTGCCTTCGACGTTTTTCAATATTAGAATTTAGATTAGAATCTAAATTAGCCCCTAAATCGCTTGATACGAATTCCTTAATTACTTTAATTATAAATCCTCGAGTAGTTATTCTTTATTAGCTCGAGCCCCACCCGGCTTAGTTACTATGTCCTCGTGACACTATGAAATTAAAAGACTATATTTCATAGTAATAAATTTCTAATATTTATACTTCCCTGATTCAATAGGTCTCTAAGAGTGAATTGAATTACTATTATAGCCTATACGTTGGTGATTCTACAGCCTGTTACTAATCCGTTGTAACAGTCAGTTCGTATACTTACTAGTAATCTCTCTAATATTAATCGACTATATCGACGAATGTCTAAAAGTCTTTAAATTTTATTGAAATAATCATATGATATTAATATTTCGATCGATTTTACTACTAAAATCGACCTTTTTATATCGAAATCAGTAAAAAAAGTTGTCCGATATATAGTATAAAAGCGATTTCCGATATAATTATATTAAAAATAATAAAATCAGGAAAAATTTTCCGTTAAAACCAGGCTCTATTAAGCGAGTACGAGTGATCTCCGATCGGCCCCGTTATAAAAATATAGTAATATGAAACCTTAAATCTAAGGATCTACAGGCTTGACCTACGATAAGACTATAGTTTCTTACGCTACAAGAAGACTATGAAATCATTAGAACATTTAAGGACTATATAAAGATCAGTATGTGCCCCGGTTTGAGTAGAAAAGATTTCAATTCATTATTATATACTTATTCTCTCGGAGTTCATTCGACTTATTCTCTACTATAGATATAATAATAATTCTTTAAGTTAAAAATACTATATCTATTTAATAATAGTTATCTCTAAAGAATATTTCTGTTTTCATACTATAATTCATATTTAATATATTTTAAAAATATTATAACTAATATTTATTAAAGATTAATTTTGTAATAAATCTTAGGTAAATCCCCGGTCATATTAATATAAACCCATCGATTATTCACGATAGTAATACTAATGTCGCTGATGACAGTCAACATGATGTCTTGGGAAGGCTTTCCCATGGAGATTCGTCTCGCGGTTTTGGAAGAGTTAATGCAGGATGGTTGTAGCTTGGCTGGCTTCGCCACAGTGTCACGAGAGTGGCAGATGGTCATCGAGCCTTATAACTTCTCCCGGATTAAACTAACGCCGGCACGCCTCGCCGATTTTGGTCAGATGCTCCATCGCAATAGGAGTCTCGTGCGCTACATTTGGCTTTGCTTGGAACTCAAAGAATATGATTGCACCGAATGTGACGCTCAAGATCCAGAGTTGTATAGCATAAGCAACGTAGACAATACCTTGATAGCCACATCAATTCAAAATCTCTTCACAACACTTAGCGTATGGGAACCAGGCAATAGCTTGCTGCTAGATATCAGCGTCTACTCCCTCAGTGACTCGAAGCATTGGTTCAAATATCTGACCTTTGAGCCTGATGTTGCTTTCGATATATTTCGCCGGAATCAACAGACAGTGGCTTCAACGAAGGTCAGACCTACTGACCACCGCGTATACCGCCACGGATGGATTGATGGTAGTCAAAATTCCACTGCATCCTATCTCGCCATAGAAAAAATCTTTGGTGAAATCTTTGGCGAGAGCCCATTTGATAATGAAGAACAAGAGGATCAGTGGTGGCAGCAACTGCCGTTAGTCCCAGCAGTAACAGGTTTGCTTCTCCGTCAACAGAGCCGCCGACGATGGAGGCCGGCCACATTGGCACGTATGTTTGCCCGTCTGCCTGGACTCCAGGAAATTCATTACGAGCCTTGGAGGGAATGGGACAATTCTATGCAGAAGTGGACGGACCAATGTGAGTGCTGCTGTGTCAATTCATTGTTTTCCGCCACTTCTACATTTAGGTCAAACTCATGATCCTTGACAACTTGCTAATACTCTTATTCTATGTAGCTTTACAACGTCTTTTTGAATCGCTTTCTTGCTCTCAATTACAGAGACTCGTAATCTTTGAGAATTTCGACCAAACCTACCCAGCTGGCTACGGGGGTTCGTATTGTCGCCCTATGCGAATACCATGCTCTTCTGTTAGTAGGGCGCTTGCTAACGCCAGTCTCACACTTGAACATCTCTCAACATCGTTCATGGTAGAAGCTAGCCATTTTTTCAAAGCTCGAGAACTTTCCTGGAAGTGGCCTAACTTGACATGGCTTGCGCTGACTTCACGACTGCTCGTGCCACAGGAGCGCTCGGCGGAGTTGGATGATATGCTTCAGACAGCAGCAGCGGCGGCTATGAATATGCCAAATCTTGAAACAATGGAAATATGGAACGGAGAGAAGGGGTTAGTGATGCTCTTTAGATACCAACGCAATAAGCGAGGGCAACCTGCTGAGATAATCTGTAAAGGAACATGGGAGCTGACCTTGCGACCCCTTGTAATACAGGCTTGGGACTCCGTATCATTGAAGCATTGCGGCCAAGGAAATGTTATCATCAAGGAGTTACTGGATATTACTGACAGTATCAAGTCTCATGGTGACGCCATCCGCCATTTGGAATTGTCAAGGCCTGTCGTTCGCCCTGTCTCACTGCGCCAGATTCAGATGAAGCACACAATTTGAGAAGTAATGTAAAGTTGATAGCTAGATCTCTACTGAGAGCTAAAGATATACAGAATAGCTTAATATAAATAAGAATATCTCTACACTTTTGGTAAGATTTAATTGTTGTTGACAACTCATTGAGCCATTGCATCTCAGAATCAATTATAAGGAGAATTATCGACAAGCACAATATAAGATCATCAGCACTACCCTCCAGACTATATTAGTACCCATTGCTCATCATTCCGAATATTCTCATTAGCAACTGCTATCGATTAAAGCGATAGTAGCAGGAAATCGATTGATTGAGAAAGCGGGATATCGGTTATTCGCAATGACTAAATAACTTTAAGAGAATTCAATGAAGGTATTAAAAAAGCAGTCGTAGAAGGAAAGAGAAGATATGATTCTCACGAAACACCTTGTAGCTATTACTATATTCAATATTTAATATTTGATATAAAGTTCTTTAGATCCTTCTTCAGATTTGCTTTATATCTCATTTGTTCTTTACTCATAGCTGACATTACTTCTTGATATATTATACCAAAATAGTCCTCTCCTTTCGTACCTTTTCTGAGATCCTAACTAATAAGGAAGAACGACTAGATTATCAATATGTATATAACAAGATCATATTCTCCCCCTTTCGTTGATTTCTCTCCATTATCATTAATACCATTACCACCACCATTACTATTAATATTAATGTAAGTCATTCATTTTATTAGTTCTTCTATATTATGAAGTGCTTCATATTTGAAACATTGATAGCGATTAAAGACATCCATGCATGATACATGTTATGCAGCTTAGCTAATCATTCCTACCAATAGGAGTTAGGTTACTCACAGAGAATCGCTTCCATCGAAGCTCGTAGAGTCCTTCAGAAAGCACGTGCTAACACCATTGCCATATCTCAAGCTGTTCTTAATGGGCAACTTCCCATCGACGAATGGCGTCGAGCCCACTGGCTCGAAATTGTAGCAGAAGCTGCATGTATCGCAGCCGAACGTGGATTTGGTCATTACATCCGTTAGCAAAGACAGATTCCACCAGTCAAGAAAAATGGGTGAAGAGCACTGGCGTTCTACATCAGTTTGAGTCCTTTGATGTTATCCTGTTATCGGCCGCGAGTTTCCAGATGTCAATTTGGTAGAATGGCTTCAAGCTCCCAATGCCGATGCGCTCTTACGTGAACTTGCTCTCACTAGTAAGTCCCAATGTAACACCATACTATCACGAGTCTTTGAATGCTAACAATGACTTAGTATCTCAACGTGGCGTTGTTTTTCTTCCGCAAACAAGATAACCTCATTTCCGATTTGCAAAAAGAACTTGTCCAACGCATTGGTCTCCTTTCAGGAAAGCCATCCACTTCAGGTCTTCACACCCATCCACTTCTCAATCCAGAGAGAGAAGGATACCGTGTGACAGACCTAGAAATTAGTACCATTGATTCGGTGCTCAATAAGAAATTTTACAGCGACACAAAATTCGACCGAGCAAACGGTCTCCAAAATACTTCCAAATAGCACGCAGATATTTCTTTCGAGCCAAAGCCTGCCGATTATTCTAGCTTGAAATTAGAGGTATTTCCAAAAACAAGAGGCGACACATTGTGGGCAAGTGGATATGAAATCTATGGTCGAATTTCAAACCTCTACCAAAAGTTCCTCGAGGGTCTGACTGTAACATTCCAACAACCTGGCTTCATTGAAACTGCTGAAAAGGGTGGATTCGAATTGTACGATAAACCAAGAGGGGCTCCAGAAAATGTGGGAAAGGAGTTGAAAGCTGTACATCCAGTCGTGAGAACTAACCCAGTCACTGGATGGAAAACTGTTTTCCCAGTTGGAGGTCATGTTAGTCATATCAATGATGTTACCCAATTGGAAAGCGAAGCACTCTTGGGTTGGTTGAAGCGACTGTTGGTGGACAATCATGATTTGCAAGTGCGATTCAAGTGGAAGAATGATCTTGGTAAGTTTTTTGCAGTACCCTATAGGTCGTTTGTACTAATATTGATGAATATAGCTATCTGGGACAACCGTTCAGCTTTCCATACAGCCACAGACGATCTTGAAGGACCGGGTGAAAGATATGGTGTAAGAGCTGTTAGCGTTGGAGAAAGCCCATTTTTAGACCCCGAGAACGAGTCTAGAAGAGATGCCCTAGGCATTTGATATAAATAGCCGCACGATAGTGTAATGAAGAACATGAAATAAATGATCGATATAAATCCTTGTAAACTATTATTGGACAAATACTACCCGCTTGTACCTGTGTCTAGGTAGATATCGTCACGAATGTGGTTATGAACACGGTGAATGAGTCACTTGCCGTCTGCTCACGAACATCTATAGCGACATATAAAGATAGAACCTATGGCTCATAACAATCCTTATTCATAAATGTCACAAACAAAGCAATATAGCTTATTCAGATTGTAATTTATTTCCATTCGAGGGTGCTCATCTTGGGACAGAAAGTCGTGGATATGGGCATTAGCCATAAAGTTCTCATTCACGTGATCAAAAGTTACGGCATTCTCCACCACGGCTACCATCAGAACTTCACTCCAACAACGGATTTTGAATTGACAAATATATAGATTATAATGTAAAGACGGTGAGATTGTCGATTGAGGATAGCGAAAGCTAAGCTATTGGCAGCATAACATCTATACATTCTACAAATCACGGGAGAAATTTCATCCATTCACGTAATTTTGTTTTCAATAATCTTTTCTGAAAATTGAATCGATTACGAAACAATCACGAAAGTCCGGGGACAGATGACAACATATGTTCTTGCAGGCATTGCATGCCATATGCACACCCACCTACTCTCCCGTTACATCAATTCTCCAACTTTGTAGCTTCTCATGCAGACGGAACATCATATGTGCCCTCAGTACTGATAAGAGTTTCGTGCTTGTGGCCAATGCTTGTGCCTTGGGCTACTTTCGTCGAGAAATGGGTAAACTATTGGGACGGGCTTTTATGGCGACAAGTGCGCTAGAGATTCTCTCATCGAATATTGACTATGAAGTCTTTCTCTCAAGGGCTTCTATTACTACTTTGGAGCATGCCTCGGAATATACTCTTATGGTGGCGCCCGAGAATTTCACGATGTCTACGCAGCATGTGTTTGACAGTGAAAAGATTCAATGTATTAGCATAATTTATGCGCCATCAAAAAGCACGTCATGGGCTTATCTGGTATCAAGACGTGAAAACTTTGTTAGTTTTAACTATTCATTTCTCGGGGAAACTATTACGAGGGAAAGGTAGGTCTCGATCCGAGATTATGGATAATGTCGCTGCATTGTCTTTGCCACAAAGGTTTGACTGCGATTTTACTCCGAGATACCTCTATTGTGTGATTTCCAGTGGATCTTTCTCAATAAGTGTCTGCCCTCGGTAGTCCCGCACACCTGCAGTGTCTCTTGGCCTTTAGCACCAATCACAATGTAGCTGATATTGTAGCATGAGCATACCTTTGAACATCGCATGGTATAAGTATCTAGTTTTCTACATCTCAATTCCTATCAAGTGAAAGATCAAAGTCGCATATATTCGAAGATGTCGAAAGATGCCACAGACAAGACGGAGCCTAAGAGTGGTGCCGCGCGACAACCAGATGACTCGCTTCAGTATGAGGAAGTAACAACTTTTGGCTACCCAATTCCTGTAAAAAATGCGACGTTTGTTTCTACGGGCTCCGACTCAGATGAAGATGGATACGCCTTTGCCAGAAATCCTTTCTTAGACCCCGATGTAAGGGAACACTGGACTGCGGTTTACGAAAAATCGCAATATGAATGCCGTCATGCCTTTGACCCCAATTTTACTTGGACCGAGGAGGAAGAGCGGCGATTGGTTCGACGACTAGATTGGCGAGTCTGTCTCTGGGCTGTAAGTTTGAGATCTCAGAATCTTTTAGATCATTGTTAACAACATTTCAGTGTGTAATGTTCTTCGGTTTACAAGTCGATCGTGGGAACTTAACACAAGCCGTTGCAGATAACTTATTGGATGACCTGAACTTGAGTACAAATGGTACGTTGCTTATAACTCTTCTCTTATATAACTTATATAAAGAGTGCATTGGGGTTAATAGTACATAGATTACAACTTCGGCAACCAGATTTTTTTATTTTCGTTCTTACTAGCCGAATTACCTTCACAATTGATTTCCAAAAAGATTGGACCCGATAGATGGATTCCGATGCAGATAACCCTCTGGTCGGTAGTTGCTATGTCTCAGAGTGCGCTAAAAGGAAAATCTGGATTCTATGCCACACGAAGTATGCTGGGTCTTCTTGAGGTAAGTTCTATCGTCAACTCCAAGCTTGACAATTCGAAACTCACCAAGTGATAGGGCGGGTTTATCCCAGACATCGTTTTGTGGCTATCATACTTTTATACATCTAAGGAACTTCCTATCCGACTCAGTTTCTTCTGGACTACACTTTCCGGAACCACTATCATCACATCGATTCTTGCTTTTGCTCTACTTCATCTAAGGGGTGTATCGGGATGGGCAGGATGGCGTTGGCTGTTCCTAATTGAGGGCTTGATTACTTTGCTAGTTGGGCTTGCTTCTTTCTTCATGATGCCAGCGTCTGCAGTTCAAACGAAAACATGGTTTCGACCAAAAGGCTGGTTTACTGATCGTGAAATATCCATCGTCGTCAATCGAGTTCTCAGAGATGACCCTTCAAAGGGCGATATGCATAACCGACAAGCAATTACACCAAAGAAACTCTGGAACGCAGCAAAAGATTACGACCTTTGGCCACTTTATGCTATTGGGTTAATCGCATACATTCCACAATCCCCGCCTACTTCCTATATTACTCTCACCCTAAAGAACCTGGGCTTCAGCACATTCAACACCAACTTATTAACAATTCCTTATTCAGCCTTCCACATCATCACGCTACTTCTTATCACACAACTATCTGAGCGCGTCAACGAAAGAACTCTGGTCTCCATGATACAACCGCTATG